GTGTGTTATAAACAACTTCGCTAAATAAATTATACATAAATTCCTGATTCTGGATTTAAAGGGAAGAGCTTTTAGATTGAAGACTAGTATTGTCAGCAAATGTTGCAAGATTGAATCGTACCTAGATGGGTTTTGATTGTCTTATAGAAATTCAAATAACAAGAAAGTACAGTAGTCCATGCAGAGTGACTGAGATTATTAAAGGATTTGATTTTTCTTAATGGTACAGGCAAAGGTCAAGTAGGATTCTGAATATTTGACATGTATCTTAGTTTGAGCTCCTAGGACTTTATAAATTGTGTGCCTACCATTTATGTTCTTCTGCATCATTCATCTATACTTTTAGATCCTCATTCTTCATTGCACACATATATCTACAAAACCAGTAGTAATGGAAAGACCGATAGGTACCTTTGTACGAAGTCTAGTATCAGATTCATGTATTCATTCAGAAATGGATAGCACTGTGCATTTAGAAAATGAGACAAGCTTTTATCTTCAGCTGTCTGTTCAAATTTGCAGGGAGAATTTGGCTTCTGTGAAATAACTGACCTCAGTTCAGTTCCGGGTATACAAAGTGTCCAGATCACAGTTGACAGTAATTGGAACTAGGTAGACATGGCTAGCTCAGTAGCAACAATCAAAAGGGTCAGGAGATTGAAATATCCTCTGTTCTTCAAAATGCTCTTTATAGGTAAAGACAGAAAAACATTTCATTGAATAGTCACAGAAGATGCACCTCATGTTTATATATTCTCTGAATAAAATGTTACAGCTCAAAAGGATACCTGATTAGCACTTACAGTGTATATTGATATGGGAATAAATTCTTCCCCTGAAAGGAGATTTTAAAATATATTTTAAATCAATAATATCAGAGTATAGCTTTTAATCTTAAGGAGGTTTTTTTGTTCTTTGGAGCACACATAATGAATTATTTTTAGTCTAAAACTGGGTAGAGTTTTTTATGCATTTTGCTCAGAATGGTGTTCATTTCTGCCTCATTTTTTCTGAAGAAATCATCTTAAATGTAACTGAAGTAGAGCAGTTTTGCTAACCTGCTTGGTGCTAATTATAAAATAGCTGAAGCAAATATCCTGCAATTGCTGGCTTGCTTTAGAGTGAGGTGAAATGGTTCTATTACTAGTCAGTCAAAAGTCATTGTTTAAGTGTTGCATGACTGTCAGTAATCGTACTGAACCATTGCAGCCAAATGAATGCCTTGCAGGAGAGACACTCAACTACCTATCATTTATGTTTCGTAAAAAATGTGAATGTTTTTGTAGAGTGCTGACTTGACAGGGTAAGTGACATCAAGAGTCTTAGAATGAGCCAATTCACTTTTATTCCTGAATTTCCTTCCTGTACAAAATTAAAAGTTTTAGCACTGCTGGGACAAATCATGTGAAGTCTTAGAGATGTGGGCTGGTGCCTACTGGGAGTAACAGACAAAACATTCATTTTCATCTCTGGTGGAACTGAGATGTAAGGTAGACTTCCAGAGGCAAGATGGCTAATGCGTTATGCAGCTCTGCTACTTCCAGTGTCACTATCTGAAAGGGCCCTGTCAACTCAAAGACCTAATACTGATTTTAAAATTTACCTCATATTTGAACAGTAGCATCTAAAATGGCTTTAATTTAGACACAGATTTGGGTGGAGGAAGGGATAAAGATGCGTAGTGCTATGTAATTTTCAGCTTTTCTTATTTACATGAATTTGACAGCCATTTTGTACAATTTCTTTTGTTATTTCATGTATACACTGATGCTGTTCCTATTACTGCTGTCTCGAGAGAGAGGAATATATTAAAAAATAGTTAAAACTGTGAAATTTTCATTTATGGGGACAGTAAGAACATAATTGTGAGTTATATAATAGCCCCTTTAAATTTCAGATTTCAGATAGAAGTTCTGATGTTTTCGTACTTACAAGCCTTATTCTGTCCTCATTTTCTATCTGTAAACATATTTTGTTGTCTGTTTCTTTTTTTTATCTGAGCATAGCACACAAAAATAATTAGCTGCTGATATTAACACATTAAATTATCCCTCAAAAGAAAGAAAATAGTTTTTAAAGGTGACATAATTAAGCAAATATGGATTAAAAATTTACCCAAATATTACCTCTCTTCTTCTTTTCATTTAAAAGAAAATATATCCACTTTTCAGAGATATTAGTGTTCTGAGCATGTGATCTGAAAGAAATAAATAAGAAAACCTTCTGAGATGTGAGGCAGGGAGGAGAACATAAAAGGACTGTTGTGCCAATACCTGAGAAAAGGGCAGCTATTTAACCATGTCCTGCCTCATTTCGTTAATATATTTGGCATGGTGAACTGAAATGCCAGAAAGAGGGTGATAATGCTGAACTACACTTTCATGGTATGATTGTTTAGTCTAAATATAAGATTTCAAAAATTAAAATTTTTAGAAAATGTAACTTAGATATAATAATGAGTGTGACAAACAATTACACAGAATCACAGAATCACAGAATGTTAGGGATTGGATTTAGAACATTATTAAAAAAAAAAGAAAAAGAAAAAAGGCAAAACTAGAGTTTTTCATTTGAGGAATACTTCTCAAACAAAATTTCCTGTTACTTTGTTTGGAATAGTTCTTGTCTTTCCAGGATTAATTTATGTATTGTAGTGTAAAGAAAAAAAAAATAATCGAAGACACTTAATGCTCCTCATTTTTGGAGGAAATTCTTTACTTTTAACCTCTTGTCATCTCCATGAGGTTAGCTGAATTACTAACTTCTTACAACCATAGTTTTCATATACTCAGTGGACCTTCCTAACTAAATTCTCAAAAGATTCACCTCGTTTTATCTTGCTGCAATGTTCTCCAAAGGCAGTCGCTTACTGAAATGGTCATGTTCAGCATCCACAGAGTGATTGAACTCTGTCCCAGTAGTGTAAGGATTTTTCAGCATTCTTTAAACTTTATTTCTTCTAGTAAACTAGGATCTATTCTGATAGCAGGAAGTTGTAAGAATGGTCAAAATATGCTTTTAGTGCCCTACTTATAACTTCTAAGTGATTTGTAATGAAAGGTGCAAGCCATTTTGATTTACCTGAATGGGAAATAATGTAGAAACAAAAGCAAAAGACTCAGTGGGGTCAAAGTGCAGAGTGGGAGAAGGATCAGTTTACTCCCAAGAAAGAGGGAGTGTGGTTCTAAATGAAAGGATACTGGCTTTTAAAATATTTTATTTTTTTAATAAAAAGTGTCTAAAGCATAATAACTGCATTTAAAAATGTTAACACTTAACATAGAGGAATAGTGAAGTTGGAAAAGTGAACACTTCTGCTTTGAGAAATAGCACAGCCAATTGTGCATTATGTCAGCCTTTAATTTAGTTTTGTATTCTATTTTCATAAAACACATGCTTTGTCAGAGATACTCTGAAGCAGAACACTGAACATCTTGTCTTGGACAAGTGGAAACAGTGGAAGACTAAGACACTTAAAACTTTACATAATTTATATTAATTGTCCTCCTCACTTTCTACATAGTTAAATGGAAACATTTGCAGCCTGAGTTACAAAAATGCTAAGTGCTCACAGCTATGAGACCCATTGGTGGGAACTCTTTTCTGAACACTGAATCCTCTAAACCAAAAGCTTTATCATTGAACTGGCAGCCTAATTCAGGGTACCTAGGGAGTTTTGGCTGTTATGTCTCTTACTCTGTGCCCATTTTGTGGATGGGAACTATCCTCCCACATAGTACTGGCAATCCACATTACCAAGTGTGTTGTAGAAACTAATTATTTGAAATTTATAAGCACTATGAGTAATCTGTGCTGGTATTATGGGATAGCATACTAGGGAATTAGTAAGTCTGTGTTTTGTCTGATACATGAGGAATGCCAGAGATAAATAGAAGTATAAATAAAACACAGGATTTGTGAAGACAGAATCACAGAAAGGTTGAGGTTGGCAGGGGTGTCTGGAGGTCCTCTGGTCCAACCTACTGCTCAAACAGGGTCACCTGTAGCCAGTTGCCCAAGACCATATCCAGATGGCTTTTGAATATCTCCAAGGAAGGAGACTCCAGAACCAATTTGGGCAACCTGTGCCAGTGCTCAGTCACCCTCACACTGAAAAAGTGTTTCCTGATGTTCAGCTGGAGCCTCCTATGTTTCAGTTTGTGCCCATTGCCTCTGGTCCACTGGGCGCCACTGAAAAGACCCTGGCTTCCCCTTCTTTGCACCCTCCCATGCTATAACCTCCCAATATGTATTTGTACCTATTGGTAAGATCCCCTCTGAGCCTTTTCTTCTCCAGCATGAACAGACCTGACTGTCTCAACCTCTCTTCATAGGAGAGGTGCTCCAGTCTCTTAATCATCTTTGTGGCCCTTCGCTGGACAGATGTTTTTTGATCAGGCAATTAAAGAGAGAATGATAATGCCCATGGATCTGAGTTCAACAAGAATGATGAGTCTAGCATTTTTTATGATCTAGACAAAATGTTTGAATTTATTATTTTTACATGTAATTTATAAGTATTTTTTACAAGTGTTAAAACAATTATATGATGGGTCTTCCACCTCCTTTATTATGCATGTTTAGCTATGAAGCTGCAGACATATTGCCTGGACTGTTAATACTTGTCCTACAAGTCACAAGAGAAAGCTGCCATTTAATAGAGAAAGAACTTCTAGTTTTGTACAGTGGGTCTTTCAGAGTCGATAGGAAGTTGGACTGCCATCCCTCTTTCTAACCTTTTTTCAGTCTTGATCACATACCATGCATGCATACAGAAATTCAGCTATGCACTTAAAAGAAATTCTAGCTTCGCGTAGGCATTCAAATTAATTTTTCTTCTGTTTTGTCACTTTATCTGTACTATACCACAACAGGAATCAATTTCACTATCTATTTTAGGCCTACAAAATATGAAGAGATGCCACGTATTTATTTAGAGATCTTCAACCAATACAGATGAAGATAAATGTTCATGTTTTCTGATTGGTTTTCATTCACAGTGCATGCATTGGATCCCAAGACCCCTATTGTGGCTGGGATATGGTGATGAAGAAATGCACAACGCTAGAAGAAAGTCTGAGCATGAGTCAATGGGAGCAAAGCATTACTGTGTGTCCAGTAAGTCCTAATACATTCATTTATCTCTTAAAACTTTTGATTACATGTGAATTTCATGAAGATGAGCTGGCATAGGTTTTTCAAGCTCAGAAAACTGTATTTAATGCCATTTTCCTAAGACCTTCCCATCTGATTTTAACAAGATATTTAGTTTATTTTCTATTTCTTATCAAACTACTTATGATCAAATTATTTATCGTACTTTCAAAGGATACTTGTTTTTTACCTGTAATGGCTGTAGTCCCACCTTGAAAGCAAATATTCACTAGGATTAGATATATTTACATGTTTTTCTCCATTTTGGAATTTTCTCCATTTTGTACTTTCAAAAAAAATTAATCACTAGTTGTATAATCTTATTTTTTAGGATCATTGTTGCTAATATAAAAGGTCATATAACATCTTTCAAAGTCTATGAATTGGAAGGGTGAATTGCATGAGTTAAGTCTTACCCACATAAATTACAGGACTGATAATTATAATAAACTTAATATTTACAGTGAGTTAACACTTTCCTTTAAAATTTTTTTCAATAAATTTAATATAATAAAAAACAAGCAACAAATTTTATTTATATCCCTCATTTTCAATGTGGTTTCAGAGTTGTTTTAATATTGATTCTTTTCCCTCACTCCAAAGAGCACAAAAAGAGCTACTAAGCTCTTTCCTTTGTATACTCATGCTGCTTTGTCTTTACCTTTTGCCCATGAAGAGGGAGCCTTTCCAACACATTTCTGCTTTCATAACTAGTAAGGACTCTAACTTGTCCCCACTCGCCACTGGAGCACGTGTATCTATGAATTTACGCTCATATGACATCTATATTCTATTGTCCATGTGTTTAACAAGCTGCTTTTAACAACTTACTGACACTCCTCTCTCTTAAGCTGGCCTTTTTTTTAGTGAACTAGAGATATGCAAAACTTGTATAAAGTTCTTCCAGCTTTCATTTGTGATCTGTACATGTGTTGCAGCAGCCTCATGGATGCAAATCACTACATGTATTCTGAGGTCCTTGAGAACTAGCTCCTGTGTTCTGACTGTCTGTGTTTGAGATTAAATAGTAATTTTTTAAACAACATCTTGTCATGTCCTTTGCCTCCATGCTCTCACATGGTGGCCTAATAAAAAAGGCTTGCATTGGATTCATCTGCATATTAGTGTTTTAGCTCAAATCAGGAGCAACTTAGGGGCAAATACTCTGATTTTTCCAATGTACTATTCTTTGGTTCACATTACAAAGCCATCTTGAAGCACACAAGCCACATTAATTTCAGATGAAATTAAACCAAAAATGTGCTACAACTGCTACTAGGCATTTGATCCATGGCCAGAGCGAGTCCAAAGTAAAGCCCACAAAATACGTATGATGTGTCAAGTCTTCAGCATCAACTGTTTTATTTTCCAGTTTTGCAGTTTACGTGCATACCATTTGCTAATGTAGACATAGCCATCGTCTCACAGAAAGTCTGGATTCAGTCACTAGTGCTGTCACTGAAATTAGGAAATAAACTTCCTAACATCAATGTAGTCTTAAGAAGGCACTTCTTTGTTATAGCGCTGGATGCACGGGGGATCGCTTTCCCTATCGTACATACTGACTCATCTCTCTACAAAAGCTTTATACTGTCAAAATATGCATATTCATTACTTTTCCAAGAAGTCATTAACATATTCATTACATTTCCAGGAACTTATTAATATATGTAAATGTCCCTCTTGCATGTGCACTTTCTCTCTCTGGTGGTCATCATGGTCTTCTGGTGGTTGTCATCATTGCATCCTTTGGTTGTACTTTTCCTTTGCACATGCTCAGTTCTTTCTTGGGCTTGTTTACAATACTTCTGTCTACCTTGTCCCAAGGAGTTAGCTCAACACGTTCTCTTGTCACATCCCAGTGATTAAAAGTCTTAATGCTTCTATGAACGTTAAGGTAATAAATTTTGATTTCTGAAATTCTATGGTGATTATACTTAACTCCAGTACTAAATTAATGATTAGAACAGGCCTGGGACTTTACAGTCTCTTCTTGGAGAGGTTTCTATGATTACCTAGTTCAAAGCTAACGATCATAACTTATACATTACACTTTACAATTTTCTACTTCTTAATTAAACCCGACTGTTCTATATAATCAAATCTTGATTATTTTATCAGAGTACTTGCAACAGTGCAATCCTCGCCTCCCTGATTGGCAAGTAGGTAGGTGCACTGTACTGTATATTAGTTTCCAAGTACATATCATACCTCCCTGGGGTAATCCCACAGGCTATATGTGGTTATGTGGAGGGTTTGCTGGTGGCCTAGTTGGGTTGCTGTACTAGGAAGGATTGCTGGAATGGGTTGGTTGGTTGGTTGATATTTGCATGAGTGATCTGCCTACTGCTTAGTCTTTGAATTCTGGTATTAGCCCTTATTTTCTTTCGTAGATAGAAAACATCAGGCCAACAGAGGGTGAAAGGAAGGGAGGAATGATTTAGAAAGCAGAATTAGATTCTGTTCTGTTCAACTGGAAAAACAATTATTTAGTATGTATTATATAACAGTTGCAAAGGATATGGCAGTCTGGTCAAAGCAGAGGAGCATCAAAGTATTGCTCAGAAATTCAGTCACAGCATCCACTTACACTGCATATCAGAGATTAAAAGATTTAGCAAGCTTCCAAAGGTATTTTGGACTTGAGCAGATTGAGGTTGCATAATATAAGGAAAATTTTAGAATTAATGGTCTAAATTGAAGAGCATAGTTTTACTAGTTTATTGTCTTAAACCTCTTAACTCTAAGTAACACATTAAACAAATTTAAAAACTTAATAGAAACTTTCCTTTAAAATAACACTGTATTCTGGCAAATCGCAATAAATTACAATTTTGCTTAGCAAGGCTTTAAAATATTTATTTATGTAGCATTTTTATGTGCTGTGTTCACAGGATGTATAAGCCAAGATGTAATGAATTTCATTTTGTAGGCAACTAAGCTATGTGCATCCTTGACGTTTGCTATATACGTTTAAGATAATGTTGCAGACAGAACATAAAATAATATTAGAAACCTTCTATCCTTCCTCTCTTGGTTCCAGTTGATTCCAATATCTTAAGTGTTAATAAAACTACACAGGTTTTTTTAACATTATAGAAAATGTGTCTTCTAAACTCGAGTCAGAGAGAGAGAGGCCTGTTTATACACTAGTTTAGCCAAAAAATTAAAAATGTGACCAGCTGCACTTGAGAAATTATTTCCTATATCTGAATATTTATTGGCATGTCATGATAGAGCAGGGAGGAGTCTAGGAGAGGTAGCTGAGCATCTGTGTTACCATCTCTGTAAACTTTGATGATAATTTGTGACAAATGTGACTATTTTGCTTATCTTGTTCTGATTTAATTCTCAAGTTGCTTTTTTAGGTTATTGTTTCTATTGGCACGAGTACACCAATTGTGCATTAATATAGATAGTAATTAATGTTATGGCACACGTATTGCTTTGAGCTTCTTCCAGATATCCTTATTATTCATGCAGTATTTTTATAGTAATGAATGTTCTTTCTTTTGGTGAAATATTTTCCAGTGGGACCACTGTCTGACATTATCAAAGAGTTTTTACAAGGATAGTAAAAATAATTTTTTTAAAAGTTGGGGTTTTTTTTACATAAGTCTGTCGCATAAATGGCTTTATTTTTTCAGCTGCACACAGGGAAAGATTATAGTATGGGCTCTTAGCCGAATTCATTAGCAGCTTCAGGAAATACTCCAGAGCCACTGAGTTCTACACAAAGTAACCTCAAACCTAAGAGCTTGTGGCAGATTTAAGGACTAGGTCACTGAAAATGTGACCTTGACTCAGAGTGCAGAGGCACAAACCAGGAAGACAAAGTGGGTGCAGAGGCTCAAGACAAGTAAGACTGATATTTGGAGGACATTAGGAAGGAAGAAGGGACTAAGGATATCTGCAGAAGGGA